TATATTTATTGATCCGCCTGATGAGAAAGGGTCGGCGACATGGAACAATCAGATATGAGGAGATATCGATAGCCACGGTGCGCTCTCTCACGGCAGTAGCGTGGTGGCTGACGAAGGTGTATTTCTGCGCGATGATTCACCATAGAATTTAAGGCATTCGCGACAGGGTTTACTCATTGGTCCTGCATATTAGATCCGTAGCCTTCCACCTTCTTAAGGATACAGCCTACTTAACTATTGTAGCATAGCGTTAAGAGACCACACACCTCTACGACACAGACACACTCGTTCATGACTGGCTAAGTGTCATTTATAATTTATCCGATGTAGACGGTAGAACTCCGGAAAAAGCAGTAAACATCAACTTTCTTAACGTATTCCACCCCTACCGCTTTTGCTGTTCACCTGAAAGTGTGCCTACTTCTTTGCTCCTCTTTCCAGTAACAGATAAAAGTGTTCTACAAGGTATTAGTGGTAATAAATTACTTGCAAATTTTCCGTAGATTGGATTTACGCCTATCCAAGCACTTCCTGACTTCTTTTAACCAATAGAAGTTGTTACAGTAGGTTACTTGGTATATTAGCTTCCTTTTCAGTCTTTTTGTCCTGTCCGCAACCTTTTCACTTACATTTCAGTTCAGTAAAACAAATGCAAGCTGTTTTGCCTTCCTTCTTATTGCACAGCTTTCACGCAGCTCTACGGCCCCCAGTGCGCCTCAATCTTTCAATACCCGTTAACCACGAATCCTGTAAGACACTTGGCCGGGGGGAGAGACTTTTGCCATTGGGCGGCCCTGGGATAATCCTCCATTCTCCTTGTATCCAGTCTTTGATTTGTGCCCAAGCCTACGATAGTCTTGGTACGGTGTTCCGAGCATCTGAAGAATATTCAGCAAATCAGCGCATTTTTGATGCCAGAATGCGTACACACTGGAATGCCTGTGGAAACATAGAGTTTTCACTTTGGCTGTTGAGAGATGCATGCACTTTTATTAACTTCCTGTACGCCTTGATGATGGCTCACCCAGCAACTCTCATTGGTCGAACCTGCGAATCCAAAGGCAACAATAAGGACGGAAAGAGTGAAATGTTTGGGCGTTTTCTGCCAGAACAAGAATGAGCACCCGAGGCCGGGCAAAGTCGGACCAATCAGCTAGTGACCTTGAAAGAGTAGCATACAAGCT